TCTTCTTCTTCTTCTTCAAGAGGTGTTTCTGTTGATGAAGGTCTAACAACTGGCCGCTTTAAAATACCTGAACTTTCTTCAAATTTAATAACTGACTCTGAAGGGCTGTCATGAGAGGCACAACAGTGGATGCTAGACTTGGCTTTGTTTCGATCACCATACAAAACTCCTTGAAGCCGAACAGATAACGGAGCATCCTCCTCCTCCTCCTCGTCTTCTTTTTCACCCCCTCCTCCACCTCCATGCCTGATAATAGTGCTACTAACTGCAGGTGATGGATTATTCTTCAATAAATCTGACTTTGTGTTTGTTCCAATTTTATCATCTCTAGTCATATGTAATTCATTTTGCTTGCAATATATAATACTGGACTCCCTGGAAACTAAACTGGCACTAGATTTACATGACCCATCCAAACTTTGTTCAGCGACTTTCAGTTTCTTCTTTGTATGCTTCTCTGAATGTTTTGTACTTTCTACCTTGGACGATGCGTTTCTGAATGGTTCAACCTTTACAATTTTATTTCCTGAAGGTATACCCTGCAAAGACACTGAAACTTTTTCACTTTTCTTCTCTGACACTTTATTCTGGACAGAAGTTTCTTCTGAATGACATTTCTGGGCTGCAGAAAGTTCTCTGCTGCCAATGGTTCCATTATTGGAATTTGAACCCCTAGATTTATTCTTTCCATGAAATGAAAAAACAACTCCATCTTTTTCATTTTTCACACTTCCTGTCTCACTTCGCTCAATAACTTCCGAAGGCAAAGGAACAGGGTCTACCATGCTCTGTAATTCATTTTTAAATGTTCTAATTACTGAATAGGTGCCATACCACATGGTAGGTAAACGTATGCTGATAGCGAATTTATTTTTGAGTAATGGTCAATTTCTTTGAAATGTTGCCAGCTGAAATTGATTTTGGATGCTTGGATACCAGATGATTAGGAATTCACTGTATTCAGTTTATGTTTCCAAGAGCACTCAGGCTTCAATTAGTGTTGGATAAAATATTAAGTATCCCGTATCTAAACACGTCATCATCAGACAGTGATGTAAATTGTTATATCATAATTACAAAGTTACTAGACTCTCTTTTCAGTGTATGGTTGGAACCAGAATTGCCATACTGCTGACTTCAATGAATATATAGGACTTTTCTACCATAAGACTGTCAACTCAGAGTACAACATACTCTTAAAGATGTCTAAGACATCATCAATTTCACAATAGAATCAGAAGAAAATCTGCATCAGTACTGTCCATAGTGGAACTCTGCCATTACGACCTACGCTTCACAGTCAGGCTCTGAAGTGTTAATAATTGGTTTGTTGGTTTCCAATGGCTGCATTTGGGATCATTTAACCCATTTTGCTTCTTGCTTCCCAGTAGAGAGCACTCAAGTTCTTGCTTTGTTGCATCTTGAAGAAGTTTGCACTTTTCTTTTCGGAAGCTTTGAAAGATTTGTTGCTATCGGGGGGGGGGGATAAACCTCTACTCATCTGTCAGTGGTGCCTGTGGTTGCTGGTGTTGTGTGTCTTTACAAAGTGCAGTCACACAGGACTGCTCTGCTGAGGTGAACTTAGAGAAGAACGTCCTCCCAAAGGATCCCTTGGGAGCTCGCTGTGCTCTTCCCCTTTCACACCCCAGTACGATGCTGGATAAGGTTTCTCTCTTATTAGGGTGCAACTGAACCAGCTCGGCATGGATTCTGCATCTGTTTCTTTAGGGTATTCCCTATGCAGGTGGCCACCACTGCACCACAAACATCAAGGGGGTTGCTTGCAGTTTTCTGTGTTTTCTGTGTCAGTAGTATCTGCGTACATGTCAGCAGTTCTGAGAGGTGTGAAGAAATTGTGAGTCAACACTGCTTTTGGTTGCAGCTTGACAAC